GTGCATGACCACTGGGTCCCATGTCATGGGCCAGTCTCTCAGCTGCTTCACTGTGAATCAGGACCCCAGTCAGATCCTATGCTATGTCCAGGGGTCGGACACTGATAGTCCCCAGATAGTACTTCTTGCTGAATAGGCATCTAGCTCAGAATAGAAGGGGGCTAATGTACTGTTCCCTTACTGCCAAGTGGCCAGAAACACATGTGGGCTCTGTGTTCCTCCTGGTTGCATTCAGAGGCAGCAATAGCCAGATCTGCTGTGGCAAGTGGGCACCCATTCTCTGAGGCCCATGTGTCACCCTAGGACTTGTTTTAGGGGATGGGATCGCAGTGCACTATGATTCCAAAACCTTTTGGTAAAGTCCCATTGGGGATACGGTTGGACCTGGGAGGGCTCAGAAATGCAATGGCTGAAGGGATTAAGGTGAACATTTGCATGAGCACAGGAATGTCTGAACAGACTCTGTGCCTGCATCCTCATGAGATCACATATTGTGCCTGACAGGGAAACGCTTCCCCTACCCAACTGTAAAACAGAACACATGTACATCCACCCTTTGGGCAACACAGGTAGACAAAACATGATAGGGAAGACCTGCAACTGGTCAGCTCACTTGGGTTTTGAAGGACACATATTCCACATCTGGGGTCATCGCTAGCTCCTGTAGATAAAACTGACCCACAGAATCCCTGGAGTCCTCCCGCAGACCTGGGCTTAATGCACAGCTGCGAGCGCCACCCAGGAGTGACTGCTGAGGTTTGGGTCCAGAAATTTTCCATCAGAGAGACAGGGCTGGACATGGACCTTGCCTGACACGGCTCTTATGACTGAAGACCATAAAAGAATCTTGAAATCTGAAATACCTATCATGTCATAGGGGAATTCGAGGACATGCTCTGATGGACAGGGCGGTGGGTCTCCAGAAGAGATCTTGTAAGCAAATGAACATGTTTGGGCAGGAAGATGCTGCCAAGGGAGTGCTAGAAGGTACTTGACATAACCACAAGCAGGATTTCCCCCTTCAGCAGCGTTTGGAACCACCTGAGTTTCCAAAGTCATATCCTAGTCACTTGTGTGGTGGCCTATGAAGGCTCTTGATTGAGCAAGAGAGCTGCTTGGTGTGTGGAGAGCAGTTTCAGGGGGCAGAGACAGCATCCTGTCAGAAGGCTGCTCTGATGGGAGGAAGTAAAGCAAGTCAGCGGAATAGGCTGATGGCATGCTATTTGCCCCATTTGGTTCTTCGGTGACTTGTAGGTGGTGGCCAATGGCATGTTCAGGAAGAGCAATGAAAACTGGTCTATTAAATGGTCCCCATGTGGGCCCGGCTCTATGGGAATTAGTACATGGGACTTGCAGGTGCATTAAGGTGAAACACGCTGACACCCATCAGAACTCCAGTCCAGGATCAGAAAGAGAATGGAACTGGCAAGCAGGTGTACTGGTGTCCTCTGAGGTGGCCAACTGGGCCCATGAAACAAGTGGACATTCGAGGGATGCAGCAATGCAGAAGCTGGTTAAATCTAGACATATTCCTCCTGCTCCCCTCTGAGACACAAAATGTCAGCAAGAACTGTCCTGTTAACTGGGGAGACAGAGACTGTAGATCGCTGTGGGAAGATTCTAGGGAGCTGGCAAATGGACTAATTATGAAAGCCCCAGGACACTGCAAATGGGTCCCAATAGGAAGAGGTATTTTCTCTGGGCTGGCTTTGCATGCTCCGCCAGCCCAGTGGTAGGTGGAAATCCTGAAGATACTCTAAGTTACTGGCACAGGAGATAGTATGTCGATTTGGACCAACGATTCACATTTCTTCAAAGACGCAGTGGCAGTCCATGGTGTTGCGTCCCACAATGGGCAGACCGTCCTTGGAGTAATGGCGAGACGGAGAATCAGAACCGGCAACTGAGGCAAACAGGGTGGGGAGACGCAGGCAGGAAGGGCTGGCTTGCCTGCCATCAGCAGTGTGTGCTCACAATACGAGGGGTGCGAAGGGGGGTATCCCCCCAGAAAGATTCCTCTGGTTTTCTAGGTTGCCGTTACAACACAACTCTTCCCACAGAGAGAGGGGGCTGGCACAACTGTGTTTCCCCCTAGTATCGTCTCAACTTGTTTTCCTATCAAATGCTGTTGTCCCAGGACCAGGGCTGCAACCGGGGGGGCCAGAAGCAGGGAGGATTCCTGAGCACGAAACTGTAACTAAACCTTTAAACCTTGATGTGACAATTCCTAAGGGCCTGGCGGGGTGGACCCTGCCTTCGCCCCTCTGGCAGAATGTGGCTGGCAGGGAACGAGGCAACATGCCTGCTGGTTCAGGAGGCCCACTGGTGCCGCACAACCCACCCTCACAGGATGGGAGTGGACTCGGGGGAGGCAACTGCTAACTAGTATTGCTGCTTGTCATCTAGACCGGCACAGAGGCTGACTCTACGTCCCCTTCAGGGGTGGAAGAGCTGGAGTGCACGTGGAGAGGGCAGAGGGACAGGGGGCAGATCCGCTATGGACACCCAGCAGGACACTGGTGCAGCTTTACAGTGTCTCAGAGGCTTGGAGAAAGAGGATACTGTCTCTTATCTCAATTACAGCAGACGCCTGAAAGGTGAAGCAAAGCCCCCCTCTTACTTGTGATACCTAACCAGGTTGAATGGAAGCTGCAAACCTGAGTGGCCTCACCCTGGGGCACATTTTAATGGGCTGGATGAACTGCCAATAGCTCAATGGGCCCCGGTCTTACTTTCCAGGTCACACTTACCTGCTGTGACACGGCATAGCACTGGCATTGTTGGTAAAGTCATCCTTACACCAATGGCCAAACACACTGACCGTGGAGTTACACCCTCCCCAGGATGTAATACCGATGGAAGATGTTCAGCCTGAGAAACCATCAACTCATTTCTATGCTAAGTGACTCTGCACAAGTTTATCGTAAGGCACGGACAGCACAACAAGAGAGGTAATGAGTATCACTAAATGCAGATGCCCAGATACATTTCTTCTGGAAGAAAGTCTCAGCCAGAGGCTGGAGGGGCCGACTTTTGCTTATCTCAACAAAATCTGGCCTTTGCCCTTGGCTCCTGGGAGGTTACCTCTGGGCCCCTGGGAAGACCTAACTGGAGTATCTTTGTTTACCTGAGGGCACTGGATAGTCTAATAATCTGACGCATGATAGGGACTTTGGGACGTTCCCAGTCAGTCTCACCTCCAGGAGGAACTAGACAATAAAGGTCAGCCACACTGACAGTGTGTGACCAAGATCCAATAAAAATGCTGGTCACCAAAGGCTCCTGGGGTGGCAACACTGTGTGGACTGTCCCCCTTTGTTCCAGGACACTGACATGTCCCGAGGACAAAAGAGCCTGACATTTGGCAGGAAAGGTGGTTGTGGGGACCCTCAGGCTTCCGTCTGGAGTCTGCAGTGCAGAGACTATTCTCCCAAACTGCAGTTTGCCAAACTCCTTGCAGGCCTGCAATTCTAGAATCACTACATTTTGGAAACTCTAAAATCAGAAGGAAAATTGTTTTCCCAGCAAGAGCCTCAAGTGAGCCGGCGCCAAGCTGGAGGCTTTATGTGTGTGGGCACAGCAGCCCCGTGAGAGGAGCATGGGGACCCCCTGCACTGTGGAGGGTGATGAGACCCCAGGAGGTGACGTCAGTCAACCGAGTTCCCACGCGGGTACTTGTCAGCTGGGGGAAGGATGGTGTGGGAGTCTGTGGTAGGCCTGCTGGAGCCTCTGCCAGCAGCCAGGTGTTGCCCATCCCTTTCCGGTGTCCCCAGCCTGCGTCTTGAATGAAAGTCTGTTCCCTAATGGTCCCTGCCCAGTAAGTGAGCACGTCTGGCAGGCACGTCTGCCAGCTTTGCCAGCTCTGGTTCCCGGAAACAGAGGAACGGGGGCAGCTGGGCCAGTGAGAAAGAAGTCTTGGCTTCTGCCACAGGCCCTTGAGACCAGAGTCAGGGAAGAACGGGGGGAGATATGGGCACACGGTGGAGGGCCTTCCATGACAGGCTCACACCTAAAAGTTTTCATTAATCACCACATTTTATAATGGAGAGATTTTACATCAAAATGTACTTTGGGAACTTGTCTTGAAGAATGAGAACATCTGGCCATCGGGGTCCAGGTCCCCAAGGCAGCAGTTCCAGGAGCTGCAAATGCGGCCCCCCACACAGGGCCTGTGCTCCCAGTGCCCCACAGCCCCAGCAGGCCTGCGAGCCTCCTCTTCTGGCTGCCGCACGGTCGGAAATAGACCCCAGAGCACAGCCGGAGTGGCGGCACCACAGGTGCACACACAGCCACACGCGCCGCTGTCTCGTGACTGGAGTCTCCTCTTCCCCAGGTATACACACCCTACTAGTGTCTCAGTTTGTAAATGCTGGCTGCTGTCCACTGTCCACCACATGCAAGACCCACAGAGTCGCACACTGCACAGTCGGAAGTCCACTGCTTTAGAGAAGGGGCCGGGGCAGCGGCAAAAGTGCTGGTTGGGGGCCTCACACCCGAGTCCTCCTCCTTCGTCCCAGCCGCAAAGCCCCAGAAGTCTACAGCAGAGACAAAAAAAAAAAAAAAAAAAGAATTCTCTTGACCTCAGTCCCAGTCCAAGTCCACTGTCTGACCTGAAGTGTTCAAGCCCCAGTGACAGGGACTTCGGACCAGAGTCCCTGGACAATTTCAAAGTGACTCTAGCTGAGGTCCACATTTGGGGAAGGAGGGAGAGGAAGTGGTGGGAAGTGAAGAAACAATCCCAAAGCCAGCAAGCTGACACTGTGACCCTCTCACCCCCACGGGGCCTCTTAATTAGGGACGAACCCCTTGAGTAAGACAATGGAAGGAAGGTGTAATCAACAGACCGACTCGATATCTGCCCTGGGGAAGCCTGGACATTCAGATACCATCACCAAATTCAAACGCTGTTTTTTCTTTTCTCACTTTTTTAGTTTATAACCCTTTTGTACTATTTAAATTTTTTTTGCAATGTATGTGTACTACTTTTACAATTAAATGAAAACATTTAAAGTGAATTTTTTTTAAGTAAAGAAGTAATCACAGTGAAACATGAAATGAAAAATCAACTTTGGGGACAGGCCTTCCAGTTGAGTCCAAAAGCCACAACATGGTCTCTCTTTCCAGTTTTTGGTCATCTTCTAGCCTTTGGTCCTCTCAGTCCACCTACAGAGCACTTGAAGTGACCTTGAACGGCTTTCAAAGCTTCCCTACAGCTCCCGCTGACAAGATCCCTACCAGGAACCCAAGAGGAATCAAGTCGGTAAAATTAAGTTAATTTACAGCTGTAGCAAAGACTGGCCCAATCACCCGGCCCCACGCACTCGGTGCTGAGTGCGCACAGAGAGGAGCGTTGGAGGGTGGTGCGGAGGGTGCCTCACAGGACGAAGGTGGTGAAGAAGATGTGCATCTTGGCCAGGAAGGTGGTGACGGAGCCCTGCCGCCAGAGCTTCATCTCTACATCCAGAGCGAAGTCCCGCGGCTCACGCACTGACCGCTGCAGGTAGACGAGGCCTGTGTAGGAGTTGAGCCGACGTGTGCCAAAGTAGCCCTCCTCGTTGCCTCTGGTGATAGTGAGGGCAATGGTGTCCCCTGCAAAGGCGGGCACTGGGCTGATGCGGAAAATGTGAGCCGGCACCAGGAGGCTGGTCTGGAAGTTGAGCTGGTAGTACGTGATGCGAGCCGGTGAGTTCTGGCACTCCAGAATGTCATGGCACGTGGTGCGCTCACACTTCCTGTGGGGTGCACGGGACTTGGTCAGTGGGCTGGGGGCTCGAGTACATCCATCCCCGGAGCTCCCACCCCTGCTGTCCACCATCCTGGACGAGGCGGAGGCAGGCGTGAGGGCCAGCTCCACCCTTCAAAGCCTTGGAGCATCTGCTGAGTCACCTTTTCTGCCATTAACTGACTGCTTCTGGGCTATTTCCTCCTCTGCCGTGGGATGCCCTGCCCTTTCTAGGTAGAAGCCTCCATACTCAGCTATGCTACATGAGGGTGATAAGAAAACCTCTGCCAAACCCCAGAGGGGGCCACAGGCCTCAACTCTTAAGCACAGCAGCAATGTGGTCTCTTCCTGGCTCTCTGAGCTACTGGCATCTCCGTCGTTAAGTCAGTATAAAAGCTGACCGCTTCCCAGATGGAGTGCTGTTTAGGCGCCAGGACTCAGTAACTCCTAAGATCTTCTGAGCAGAACTCTCTAGCTGGCAGGCTGCAGCGCCAGGCCAGGCCAGGGCAGGAACACTGCCCAGGAGCATGGGCACGGCACTCGTGCCACGCACCGTGCCAAACACACGTCTTCACTCCGCTGATATGATACGCACACCCTGGGTGGTGCTACCGTCATTCCTGTGCTGCAGATGAGGCATCTGGGACCCAGAGAAGGGAGATCACTTCTCCAGGGTCACCCAAACACACTCCCTAAATCATGGACATCCCTGTGTGTAATAGTGAAAAACGGCAAACTGCCAGCAGAGCAGCAGGAAACGACACATCCATGCTAGGGAACCCTGTCCGAGGCAGGCTGCGCACAGACGCCAGACAGCCCCGGGGCGGGGACAGCCAGGTGGCGATGGCAGGGTGAGTCTGAGTGACAGCGCCGCGACAGTGCCGCGACACGTGCTGTATGCTCAGAGAAGAGCATGGATATACCCCAGCCGGTCAGCAATTGTGTGACTGGTTTGATGGGGGCGGCAAGAGCTTGGTTTGCATGTTTTGATTATATGAATATTTTCATAACCATGTGTCACTTTTGCAAAGGACTGTCACTTACTCTCGCCGTGACCTGTGCTAGGGGAATACATGTCTAGCCATGGAGAGACCCAGCGGTGAGGAGCTGAGGCCTCCTGCCCAGAGGTGTGAGACTGGACAGCAGGATTCTGCAGCCCATGAGACCCTCGGCCAGAGCCACCAGCTGAGCTGCCCCTGGTTCCTGACCCTCCAAAGCTGTGTGAGACGATGTATTTGTCAGGTTGAGGTGCTAAGTATAAGAATAACTAATATGGTGTGTGTGTGTGCACGTGTGAGAGAGATTTTTCTGTGCATCTTCCCTTCATAGACTCTGAACTTCCTGCAAGGTGCTTTCATTTGTGCCACTTGTGGTCAGTTTGACCACAGACTCTCAGGTGGGGGCAGGGGAAGAGCAAGGTATGGTGAAGACAGAGGCCGCAGGTCTCTTGGCCTCTCCCTGGGCATCATGGAATCTGTACAGGGTCCCAGGCCCAAGGCTGGGGCGGAGACACTCACGTTTCGGAGACTCGAACGTAGTTTGGAGGGCACTCAAAGCGCAGGCAGCGGAAGCTGCCCTGGATGTTATGGCAAGTCTCGGCCTCAGAGCAGTTGTGGGTGCCCAGTGCGCACTCGTCCAGATCTGCAGGGAGGAGAAGGGCGTTGGCAAGGATGCCCCACACCAGGGACTCTCACCCAGATCACCCAGGCCTGCGGCCTGCGTCCCAGAGCAGCTGTTGCCGACTGCCAGACGCAGCTCACAATTCCAGCCTGTGCTGTACACACCCCAGCTAGTCCCCTGTCCCTCACACCCAGTAGCCAGAGGGCCTTGCTTTAAGATGTAAATAATTTTTTGTCCTGCTCTCCGAGGGCTTTCCATGCTTGAAGAACAAAAGCGCCAGTCCCTCCTACAGATGCCAAGCCCTACACTGCAGGGTCTCTCTGGCCCTCCACTGGGCCCCTCGCCACTTGGGCTACAGTCCTGCTAGACATTTCTGAGCTGCCCCAGTGCCTTGATCCTTATCCCACGGTTAGCTCCTTCTCACTCTTCAGGTCTCGGCTCAGGGCCACACCCTACAGGATGCCCTCCCTGACTATCCCACAGCGGTCCTCCTCCCCATCCCTTCCCCTTTTACTCCCTGCATACTGCTTGTCCTCCGTCAAACACACGTAAGCTATTTTGTCTGTCTGTTCTGTTTCCCACCCTCCCCCCGCTCAGCGTGAGTTCCAGGAGGGCAGGGGAGGGGGAAGGCATGTCTTCCTCAGTCCTGTGGGGTCCCCAGCACCCAGCAGAGTGCCAGGCACATGGCACGTTCTCTACACGGATTTTTGGGTAGAGGTTCAAGACTCCCCACTTGTAAACACATGCTCCAAAGTGCACAGCTACAAATGCCCCGTGAACTGCAAGGACATGCTCACACCTCCTGTGCCTATGGCCGGCCATGCATACAAGCTCAGGCACACTCATACAGACACACCCACATAACAGGGGCCCATTCAAAACACTGAAACACCCCCACACACAAACATATGAGTAAATATCTCTGACAAAAGCTCAGAGAAGCAAGCGTGTATGTGTGTTTTGCAGGGAACCGGTGGATCAAATAAATGGCTCACAGAGACCTTCCTGTGCCTGGGGTGGGGGGAGCAGGGGTCTGTCAGGCACTTCCTGGAGGGCTTCAGATTTTATCCTCTGGTCCTCCACACTGAGCCAGCTTAGGGATGCCTCTTCACCCAATCCTCACACCAGTCCATTGGGGTGAGGGTCACTGGCCTCCCCAGAAGAGGGAACTGGGGATCCAAGATGGACATAACCTTGCGCAAGGTCATGCAGCAGTCAGCGAGGCAGCTGGGGCTGGAAGCCAGGTCCACCTGATGTCAAAATGTGGGATCTAATCACGATGCCAAGCTGACTCCTAACAATACCAGCTGCAACATCATAGTAATCACACAAACAGCCAACCTGCATCATGAGTTCACCACCTGACATTCATTCAGTGCTCCAGGACTCCACACACTCGCTTATCCTCACAGGGGTGGGCGTCACCCCCTCATCCAGACACGCCCAGGGCTGGGCAGCTGCAGCAGGACAGGGCCACCGCTCAAACCCAGGCCTACTTCAGACTCTAGGCTGCTGTCTGCCGTGCTCGACCACGCAGACCAGCTCACAGTCGCTCACCTCTCCAAGCCTCACTTTCTCCCTCTGCAAAGTTGTCACGATCCCAATTTCCCAGGGAGGCGGAAAGGAGAGTGGGAGGAAACGTGGCAGGGGGCCAGGGCTGGCTGGGCCAAGGTGGGCACGGTTGTTGTCCTGATGTTCATTCATTAAATCCACACGTTGGAAGGACCCCCTTCTTTCCTTACCCTATGCCAGCCACCCGCGAGGTGAGCAGGAAACCCTGACCCTGAAGCCTGGGTTGGGGTAGAGCAGGAATGAGATGGCAGCAGCTTCCCTGTCTGCCCTGGGCCGGTCTTGACAGGAGTGTCCAGAAGTGGCAGGAGGAGCCCAAGGCTCGCTGGCTGGGGAAGCTGCTATAGGACTTCCTGAGGACCCCAGGGTCCTTGCCCCTTGGTGTTGCCAGGCCCCTGGAGTCTGCAGGCCTTTGACCCTGACGCTTCCCCTGGAGAGCTCCAGCCAAAGGGAGAGCTCACGGCTGCGCGCCAGGGAGCGTCCTTGCACCTCGCCCGGTGGTGATGCCACAGCTCAGACATGCAGAAGTAGAAACACAGCAGAAAGGCTGACAGCACTGCCAACAGCTGGCCCTTAGTCAGGGGCATGCTGGCCAAGGCTTCACATACACTAAAGACAAAACCAAGAACCAAGAACAAAAACACACACACAAACAAGGCAGGATTCCAGGTATCTTCAGCATGATCTTAGATAGTGTTATATTGCATTTGTACAGGGTGGACAAAGGTAGGTGGGCAGTTGTGAGTATGCAACACCGAGATTTTTCTTGTATTGTTATTTATTAATTGTTGTATTATTTCCCACACGAATGACTGTCAACCTACTTTTGCCCTACCCTCTATATATGTTCATATCTATTGGCATAAAGACAGACCGGAAGGAAAACATCCAAACACTGGCAGTAGTTGCCTCTCAGTTCGGTCACGTGGTGGAATGTTTGACGAGCACCTGTCGTGTGCTGGCCGCTGCTGTGTGTGCTGGTGAGCCGGAGTCACAGCCCTTCCTTCACAGAGTGTGAGTTCTAGGGTCAGGCCGAACCTCAACGCCTGGACATTCTTCTGTCCCATTTCTTGCTATGAAGGAGGGGCAGATGCTGACATGAGATATGAACTGGCACACTCTGCCCCCCAGGGCCATCCACCACTGGAGCCATGAAACTCAGTGTTTGGTCCAACTCAGAACAGGACCAGAGAGCACCAAGGAGCAACTGCTTAGCTCTAAAGGCCAGCGGGCACAGAGGGCATCGTGGCACAACTCAGGATGGGGATGTGACCAGGCCAAGCCGGCATCTCAAACTCTGCCCTCGTCTACCTGTGATAGCAGAGACTCTTCCAGCAAAACAGTTTGGAGAGAAAATACAAGCGTCCCACGTGTGGGATACCTCCCAGGTCGGGGCTGGTGACACGGCATGGAGGGGACCTGGGCCTCAGTTCTGTTGCATCTCAGGGAAGGGTGTCACTGGGTAGGCTGTGGGGGTGCAGAACAGCTGCCCCCACACTCTGGAAGATGACGCGGAGAGCAGGACGGGGAGGCCAGCAAGGGGAGCTATGGGAACCAGGGCCCAAGACCACGGTGGAGGTCAGACGCACCAGTGGCCAGCACCAACGGGACACGTGCCTGGGCCCGGGGAGCCCTCTGGTGCGGCACAGGCACACCTGGATGTCTGGGCGTTCCTCTGATCCTAGCCAGCACGGGCCAGGGAGGAGGGGTCAGAGAGAGTCTTGAATGGACCAGGTTTTTAATCTGAAGTGCCATCAAGAGCAAAATTTGCTGTAGTTCTGACTGAACCTTCCTAGAAGTGACCACACTTGTGTTTTTCCATCAGGTGCACAGGGCCTCAGTCTCTAATGAAATCACATTCTGGAAACATAAAGTATTTCCCACATAGCTCAGTTTATGGGGGGGGGGGTAAAAATCTCTACTTTTATGGAGTCCATACCAATTATTTTTTAAATTAAAAAGCAGGGTGCTTTGCAGCCAAAAAAGACTAGGTTAGCTTCTGTGAGCAAGCCCGGCAGGGCTCCAATTGACCTGTTCTTACTCAGAGCCCTTTAACTATTATTATTGTTATTTACATCAACCTACAGTAAGGAACCCTATTGCATTGGGACTAAGGATACACATGGAACTGAAACAATCCTTCTGGGCACAGTGCACTCTGACCTACGGCATGTCCATTCTACCCAACCCGACCCTATGTTCTGCTCTTTATTAAAAAAAAAAAACCCCAGTTGGCTGAGACCTACGAATTTGATCTTAGGATCCTTTTATAGGTAGCAACTGTTAGTCCGACTCTGGACTTTCAGGTGCCAACCCTGACCACTAGTTCCCCAGAATCACAGGGTCTGCCTTAGTGGGACCGAAGCTGCTACGCAGCGACCTGCGGGCTCTCGGCCCCACCACCGGAGACGGCTGTCATGACAACCGACACGGGACAGGTGAGCTGTGCTCTGAGAAGCCGAGTTGTTGGGGTTGCAAGTGCTGCTCCTATACCCGGCCCCCGGTGGGTTCTCGCCACTTTGCCCTGGCGGCTTGCCAGGCCCGGAATTTGGTAACTTTGGTATATTCTAATGGTGCCGGACTAAAGATCATGACTCTTTAGCTTAGAAGATTAGATGTCACAGAACCATCCAGGGAAGCAGTCCCTCAACTACAAATTTAACAGGTGACTGCCCAGCCCCTCTCTGCACGTCTCCAGTGACAGGAAGTCCCCTTCCTCTTTTCTATCCCTTCCCAGCTCTGGATGAGTATCTTTCTGTGTGAAGCTCTAGGGTAAGCCTTCTGTGACCCCTTTTCCTTCACTTGGGGACCCACCTGAGCCCCTGAGTCCAGAGACCTGGCTGGCCCAGTCCCTGGACAGGATCGTAGACACTTGGGGACAGAGACCAAGAAACCTAAAGCTGCTCTTCAGCAGGCTTCTCACTGGACAGGTCTCGCACGCCTTTTAGAACCACCCCACGAGATCCCTGCCTCACTCGCAGGGAAAGGCCCAGAGCTAAGTTTAAGTCTAGAACATTGTAAGTTGGGTCGAGCAGCAGCAAGGCTATCACCTTTCTCACCCCAGACACAGACCACCAAGGACACTGGCCATTCTGTGTGTATACACTTGCTGTCAGAGCTCCAAGTGCACACCATGTCTGCTAGGACCCCAGCCGAGGCCCTGGTGGGCAGGGACCCCTGCTTACCCTTGCAGGATCTCCCGTTGGCTGTCATGGTGTAGCCCGACTCTGGGCATGCACACTGGTAGCTCCCTGGCACGTTGACACAGCGGAAGTTGCAAAGGATACTGGCTCCTTGAGCACACTCGTCGATGTCTGCCAGAGAGACAGTCACCCTGTGACTCTGCCCACCCACAGGGCCCGGCCACTACAGCCACGCAGTCCCTGCCACAGCTATGGAGCTTAGGGCCCATTTTACAGATGAGAACCATAAGGCTCAGAGAGAAAACGAGTTGCCCAAAGCCACACAGAAAAACAGGCCTCCCATTCTAGTGCTTGCTCCTGGGAGCTGTTCCATAAATACTATCAGCTAAGGGGCAATCAGGCACTGACACAGGCCTGGATGTAGTACTCAACTGAAGAACCCCTCACTCCACTGAGGTCAGAACTGGCATCTCCACTTTGCAGAGGAAGAACTAAGGTCAGACCCAGGAAGCATGTGCCCAAAGTCACACAGCCAGGAGGTCACAGGGACGGGACTCCGACTCTGATGTGATGCTAAAGCCTCTGTGTGTCTTGTGTGTCTTGGGCCCAGCAGGGACTCTTTGGGAGCTGGGTACACAGGGAAGGGGTACCTCTCAGGAAGGGGCCTTGGGCAGAGAAAAGGTACCTGTGCAGGTATGGCCATCCTCGGCCAGCTGGTAGCCTTGGCGGCAGTAGCACTGGTAGGAGCCATAGATGTTGGCGCACTCCTGGCTGCAGCGCTGGGCCTCACACTCATTCACATCTGCGGAGAGACCAGCTGGTGGTCACGGTGGAACCCTCTCAACCCAGAGGTGAGGCCCAGGGTCCAGACTCACCTAGAGCCACCTCTTGAGAGAACATTAGTTCCAGTCTCCCTTTGGGGCTGATGAGGAGTCAAAGGCCCAAATAAGTAAGGATAAGTGGCCCACCTGGGGCAGGCAACTGAGGCAGGGGCAGGGTTGGGCTTGCTGTGGAGTCCTGGCGTGGCCTGCTGCCTGGAGGAGGCAGCCACCGGCCAGACTCAGATCCCCTGGTCAGTATCAATGCTTCCCCACTAAGGGTCCTCAGCACCTGGCACAGACAGCTCTGAGAAGTGTCACCCACATGATAACAAGGACCTCCTCAAGTACTGCATGGGCGTGAAGGGGGAGCAAGTGCTGACGTACATGAGCGTGTGGGCTGAGCAATGTGGGACTGATGGGGTAAAGGGTCACCTAACAGCTTACAATAGATGGAACATCCACTGGACTGAGCTCCTGTAGGCAAGGATGGGTCTTTCACAAAACTAAGACCTGCTGACCTCTTGTGACACGCTAGGCCTGTCCTAGGAACTGGAGATGTCACCATGAACAAGAGGAACAAAAATCTCTAGCTGTGGAGCTGACACTTGTGTGTGTTAGGGAAGAATGGGGGGAGGGAGGGAGTTAATTAAATGAGTCAAAGAACTAGCATGTCAGAAGGTGGCAAGTGAATGGAGAGAGAACAGAGACCGGGGAGAGGGATTATGTCTGGGAGGGTTGCAATTTCGGAGCCACGTAGGCACCTAGGGCAGCATTCCGCCCGGGCAGAGGAAGGTACACGAGCAAGACCTTGAGATGGGCGCAGGGCTGGAGCAGGAAAGGAGCCGAGGGAGGTGGGTGTGATCAGAACAGAGGAAGTGAAGGGAGAGTGGTGGGAGGGGCAGTCAGGGCCTGCGGGGCCTTGTAGGCCAAGTCGGATCCACACCCAGATCCTTAGGGCGTCACAAGAGACACAGCATTCACATGAAATGCATGAACAACAGAATAAATGAGTACTTTCATCTAGACTCTGAGCTTCTGAGGGCCAGGGGCCACACTGGTTTCATCTCTGAGTCTCTAACATCCAGCCACAGGTGGGGAATGGCGCTAGGTAGGGATGGGGTGGGTGAATGACCACTGCAACGCCTGGGAGGCAGAGGTCTCGTCCCCACGACCTGCACACAGCCAGGTGCAGAGGAGGCGCTCACAGGTGATTATAATTCAAATGAATGAAACTGAAGAGTGAGAAGGTGAGCTTTGGGTGCCCATCCAGGTGTTGTCAGATGCAGCCAGGCCTGGTCACGTGCCTCGGCCCCTGGACTGGTCCTGACCCGTGGCAAGGCCAGCTCCCACCCACTGTCCCCTCCATCGGCCTTGGGTGCATCCCACACAGGTGAGAATTCGGCTTCAGATGCCAACTGTGGGCCAAGTCCAGCCTATTCATATGCATGGTTTAACTCACAGTATATTTCCTAGAAGTTTAAATCCATCAGCAATGTGTAAAAACTAGATTTTATATAAATACCTACTTTTCTGGCATCTGGAAAACCAAAAAATTGGGTCACTCAGGACTGGCATTGCTGGGTGGCACCCATCTATGGGTGCTCTGTGGCTACCACCCGCTTTTGCCAGCAGATCCTGGACTCCTCAGGTGGCCGCGGGCCCTGTCTCATGTTTTACTTACTTCTGTTCCCTGCCTGGCCCCCAGGGCACTGAACCGGGACCAGGATCAGAGCTCACCAAGGGGAAGAGGCTGCACTGCCATTCCTGCCTGCATGGGGCTCCCATGCCCGGACGTACGTGACACAGACACCCAGCCCCTCTGGTCTGATGAAAGTGGGGCCCTGGGCCCTCACAGGGGACTCATGGCAGGAAACAGCTGAACCAGCTGAGGCCAGGGAGGGTTTGCACAGACGGAGAAATGGAGAAGCGGCATGAAGCAGGGCTGGTGGCAGTGACAGTGTGAGACTGGAGGCTGGATACTGGTTTGGGCTTTCTGTAGTAGGTACATTTTTGTGGGGTCAGAGGTAGGAGGTCGGGGTCAGCGGTACCTTCACAGTGCTTGCCGTCAGCAGCCAGCCGGAAGCCAGAGGCACAGGAACAGTGATAGGAGCCGAGCGTGTTCTCACACGTGTGCTGGCACAGACGGCCAGGCGAGGTCCAGCACTCGTTCACATCTGCGGGCAGGTGGGACGGGTGGGACGGGAGCTCCTGGAAGCCAGCTCCCTCCACCCCAGGCAGAAGAGGGGGCTGAGTGGGGAGTTGGAACCAGGACCCCAGGAGAGACAGGGAGAGACCCAGACCGGGAGAGCGGCCAAAAATACCGGGGATGGGAAGACGGCACTGAGTGCTGAAAGAAAGCTGAAGGCAGAAAGAGGGACAGACAGTCACAGCAAAGGGCAAGAGAAGAGGGCAACAGGGATAGAGGCTGAGGGGCAGAGGAGGCCAGAGGAGGCCAGAGCAGAGACACAGCCAGGCCAGAAGGCAGGAGGGCGGTCTAGCCCAGGGAGGGCAGGGCCCGGGAAAGGAGGAGGCAGCCAGAAGGCCAGCCTGGGGCCGGCGAGCACCGAGCCAGATAGGGGTCTTGGCAACCAGCCCCCACCTACCCACACAGGTCCGACTGAAGGGGTCCTGCTGAAAGCCAGCTTTGCAGTCACAGCGGTAGGAACCAGGGAGGTTGTGGCACACCTGGCCCTCCCCGCAGTGGTGTGCGCCGGTCTCACACTCATTCACATCTGTCGGGGAAGGTAAGAAGGGCACCCTGAGGCCCGTGCTCTCCCCCTACAGGGGACTCCCACAGGCTAGACACCCAGAAAGGCCAAGGCCGACCAGGAGGCAGGGAAGCATCTGGCCTTACCCACACACTTGGTCCCGTCCTGGCTGGCGTGGTAGCCTCGCCCGCAGAGCAGCGGGTTCCTCTGGCACGTGTACGAGCCCACGGTGTTAATGCAGCTGAAGCCAGGCCGGCATGGCTCAGACAGCGACGTACACTCATTGATGTCTGCAGAGGTGGGTGTAGGTGACGAGGAGCCAGGCACAGTCCCTCCCCAGGCCCCAGCACCTGGGTCCAAGGCTGCACTGGGAGGTGGCCAGTCCTGGGCTCCAGACCAGCCCGGGTAAGGGTTACGGGGATAGACTGCCCTACCCGTGTCCTGTGGCACAGGGGCTTCAACTCCCAGAACCCGAGAACCTGCCAGCTGTTTTCTAATGGAGCAGCTAGAACCAGAGGGGAAATCTAGGCTGACTTGTAGGTTGGCTCCGGTACACCACACACTCCTGCTCCGGCTTCCCCAACCCTCCCAGCCTGCCAGCTTCCTCCTCCACTGCTGCCTCACATACTGCGCCCAGCCCGCCGGCCTCTTCATCAGTCGTCCCATCACACTCGGGCACAGCCCGCCACGGGGCCTTTGCACATGTTGTCTCCCCTTCTCCAGTACACAGTCCCCTCCTATTTTCATGGTTGGCGCCCTTATTTTCTCCGACCCCTGCCCCAATGCCGCCTCCTCAGGGAGGCCCGGACTAACCATTTTAGGTACAAAAGCACCGTTTGTTTTATTAAGGAAAGCACCCTAACTGCCACTCGTATAAATGTGTTTGCTCATTTAATCCCTCCCCTCCAAGACGTCTCAGGAAACTGCTGCGGCCCCCCGACACACAACAGGTGCTCAGGCAGCGCCAGCGAACACATCGCTGAGGAGCTGTTTGCCGTCAGGCAGACCCCTCCCCACCCTGCCCCGACCCTGGCTGGGTGGACCCTGGCTGGGTGTCCGGGGCAGACCCCAGGGACCTCACCGTGTCCACAGCCCTGGCGGGCCCGGGGGGGTTGCCCGGCTCCTGTGACAGTGTTGGCGCACGGCCGTTAAGGCAGGAGGGGCTCAGGGAGAGCTCCAGGTCCCAGACTGGCTAGGAGAACCCCCGGAGAGTCTCGAGAAAGCTTTCTCAAGATAAAGTGAAGGCCCCTCTGTCCCTCAGTGTCCTCCCCGTAAGAGGGGGACACCCACAGCTGTTCTTAGCAGTGAAGGGTAAATGACAGAAGCCGTGTTCTAACAAGTCCCTTGTTTCTTTCTCGCCCTGAGCTCTCCTTGCAGCGGCCACCTCTCCCTCCGTCTTTCATCCCGCCCAGGTGGAGTGTGGCTTTGATCACGCCTACACTCTGGGTGCCAGCAGCAATCTGGGTGCTGGTGCTCTACCTCCAGCCTCACGGTCAGCAGCCGCGGGGAAGATGGGGCCCTGGCTGTAGGCCATGGGCTCTTTGGAAGCCACTGATGAGAGATGGGAAGAGCATGAGATCTCTTCAGACCCACGTGGGGACAACAAGGCCAGTATCTGTCATACTGTGGGTCTCCACCCACGAGTGCAACGTGAAGTCAACCACGAAGGTCTTGCTAGGGTTCTTTGCAAATATAAATTCAGTATCACATGCAGTAATGTTTTGTGAAACCTGTGTTCCAGTCATGTTTGTGTGCAAGTGTGTGCCACATTAAGATATAAAACATTCCTTCCTATTAACTGGGTTAAAAGAAAGTTGGTACATGTTCATCTAGTCCAACCCCGTGGATGGATAAACCGAGGCCACAGAGAAGTAACTGAGCCGAGGTCAGACAGCTCAACGTAAGAACTTCTGTTCTGCAAGTGCCTCCCGGGGCCGGGCACTGAAACGTCCGCTCACAGGCTGGGATACACTGAGGCTGGGGGAGGGAGAGAGCAGCAAGCCCCGTCCCCTCCTCGATCTCTAAACCCTCAAAGGCCCCCACCCACCCATGACACCTTCCAAAGACATCCTGCAGGGCAGTCCCTGCCCACTCACCCACACAGTTGCCCTCGGGGTCCTGCAGAAAGCCCTCCATGCAGCGCTGCCGGGCCTGGCAGTAGAAGGAGCCCTTGGTGTTGTGGCACGTGGAGCCCTCCTGGCAGCTGTGTGTGCCCAGCTCACACTCGTCCACGTCTGGAACACGGAGGCAGGAGTCAGGGGCTGGCAGGCCGTAGGGCCTTGCCCGTACAACCCTGCCACAAACCTGATGGTCACAAAGGTCTTGTGTGTCATGGGAATAGCAGTGTGTCACTGCTGCATGCCCACGCCCAGTAACAATAAAGTAACAACATCACCACACGGACTGTGTTCCTCCGTGGTACCAAGCACTGTCCCCAGCACTCTGAGATCTATCGATCTATTTAATGCTTACAACCACCCTAGGAAGTGGGGGCTATAACAAACCCCACCTTACACAGGAAGATCCACAGCTGGGGCCAGAACCCAGGGGGGTCCATATTCTTCACCACTGCCCCTTGCTTCCTTGCACAGGCAGAAATGGGGGCATGTGCTCACATGCCTAAGGTCATGTGTCCAGGCTTCTCTGAAAGTGGTGTTGGCAGCAACAAGGCTTGGAGCTCTTGAGGATGGAGCTGCCAGACTAGGGTGAAACTGATGCCCTCCCACCGCAGCCCCACCTGCTGGGGCACTGAGCGGTTAACACGGGGCTTGCCCCTGCTCAGGGCTCCACAGTGCACACGGTGGTGCCCCATGCGTCCCCTCACACTTCCTGCAGAGCAGGGACAGCAGGCTGTTTTCAGACAGAAAACAGGCAGAGCAGAAGCGCAACACGCAGAACTGATGACAGGCCAAACCTCCCTCAGCTTTGCTGATTGCCAGACCAAGCCCTGTATGTCTGCGTGTCTTCTGTCCACCTGTGCTTCTGCCACCCATCTCCTCTCTGGTTTCCAAAGCTTCCACCACCTTCCCACGGCCAGTCAGTCATCAGGAGGCCATGTGCTGGGCTCCAGGCAGCCAGACACGAATGGGCACAGCCCCCATGTGATTACAGCCTGGTGCTTGAGAGGCAGCCCCTCCACATCCACCCTAAGGAGCCCAGCACGCTGAGGTAAGACAGGGTTAGGGGGTGCCGGGGCATGTCCAGGGAGGTGGCACCCCTCCGCAGTCTGGTTTCTTAGAGGGGGGCTTGCCCTGGATCTGCATCTGCCCTTGTGGGTACATGCAGGTGTGGGCACACATGTGCAGAGGGGCCTAGGCTCACTTCTCCTCTAGCTCAACACCCCCACCTGTGACCAACTCGGAGCCAAACCTGACTGTGTTAACCCACCTCCCTGAGCTCACGCCCAGCCTCAGGGCTACTCCTCATCAGTATTCTCCAGGGCCTGTAACAAATGAGCACTTCGGTCTTCAGTATACCTTCTTTCCCCTTGGTGACACTCTTCTAGACACTTTTAGTTAAAAATAAAATGCTTCATATCACATGAGCGGCGGATTCCAAACTCCTTCCCCAGCTGCGCCCGTCAGCCCTGCACTGTCCTTTGGAGATGCTGGCAGGCTTGCTCCAGCCCCGAGACTCTCTTTCCTTCTTCGAATGTGCCAAGATCTCTCTCCTCTCAAGGTCTCTCACTCGCTGTCCCCTCTTCCTAGAACACCCTTCCCATCACGTAGTTCTCCACTCCAACTTCACCTCCGCAGGGGGGCTTTGAACCCCCACCTAATGAAGCGCCAGCTCAGGGCTATTCTGCCGTCCCGTTTGCCTGTGTGGCCCCGTGACCCTCATCAGGGGACCTGAAACAGGGACACCATGTTCTACCTCGATCCCTGCCACCCAGACCCCTGCGGGCACACAAAGACACTGGGAAGTATCTATTAAAATGGGTCGATGATTTAAAAAATAAATACCTAAAATAAAATGGTTCAACGAAACTCACCCCCCGCTCCCCACCCGCCCCGCTCTAGAAGGCCAGAATTCCCCAGTGAAAGGGGTGGAAGTGACCTGTGGGCTCTGCCCCAGTGAACAACCAGGATCGGAGGCATGGCCACGAGAACAATGGCACCCAAGTGTCAGCAATGGTAGCAAAGCCAGGGGCACACCCTAGCCTCCCCCCCCACCAGCCTCAATCCCCACTTTGCCTCAAATACCATCGTTTGTGAGGTTTTCCCAAAGGCATAAAATCTAAGTGGGGGAAACTCTTGAGTCTGGGCAGGTCAGGAGGCAGATGGGGCAGATCAGGGGTGGGGCCTGCAGACCACTGTCCTCACCTGTACACTCGCCATCCTCAAGGGCATAGCCCGGCTGGCAGGTGAGAGCCTTGTAGCAGCGGAAGGAGCCTACTGTGTTCACGCAGTGCTCTCCCCGGCTGCACGTGTGCAGGTCTGTCACGCACTCGTTGATGTCTGCAGGGAGAGTGATCCATCAGAGGCCACCGGGTACTTCCTGGGTGGCGGCTGAGTGCAGCCAGCACCGGCTTCAAGGTGCTCACTACCCAGAGGGTAGTGCACAGTTGATGTCCACCTGTCTGTGCATCCGTTCACTCAACAGAGATTTACCGAGTACCTGCTATGTACCAACGAGCACTGTTCTTGGCACCAGAGGTACATGGTGAACAAGACAGACAGAAATCCCTGCCATCAAGGGGACACTCAGGAAGAGGAGGCCCAGCAGATGAACAAGCACACATACAACAGGAAGGGTGGCCACACGTGCTGTGGGTGAAGAACAGGAAGAGAGCTGAGGGTGCTGAGGGGGCAATGTGGGGAAGGCACGCACCATCTTACACAGGCGGTCAGGGGAGGGTCCTCAGAGAACACGACATTCGAACAAGCATTTGAAGAAGTGATAGAATGAGCTCAGCAGATATTCCAGGTTGAGGGGACAGCCAATGCCAGGGCCCTAAAGAGGGGCCTGCAGGGCAGGTTCAAGGGCCAGCTAGGAGGGGAGAGAAGGGTGTCAGGAGATGCGGAGGCAGGTGGGAGCCAGAGAGAGTTCCAGCTGGGGGAGGAAGTAGTTGGGCTTCTTTATAACACGGTCCCCTGGCTGGGTGTGAGTACTGCAGGGACGAAGGTGGAAGCTGTTAGAACAGGAGATGAAGGACTGTGGTCTGTGGAGGTAAGGAGCCATCAGGTTCTGAAAAGCATAGTGAAGATGGGACTGGCAGGATCCAGCAGTGCATGAGATGAAGGTGAGAGGAAAAGAGGAGCCAAAAGGTCTACAAAGCCTTCTGGCCAAGTGGCTGGACAGGTGAGAGCACCAGCACCTGGGACAGGGGTGACGGGGAGAAGCTGGCTTGCAGGGGAAGGTCGGGAAGCCTTGTGGCCACACTGGATTTGAGAGTTGAGAGGCATACCGCTGAGCTCACTGAAGGGGTCTTGAGAGCGGTCCGCTGCTGAGGTCATCTGAGTGATGTGGCACAGAAAGAATGAGCCATTGGGAAGGGAAGAGAGAAGCAGCAGGGAGGGTGGAGGAGAGCCCTTGGAGAGGTCACAACTCACACATCACTGCAAGTTGCTGTTCAGGACACACCGACATATAACTGGTGCCTGCCTCCACGCTGCGCCTGCTGGTGGTGGGGCAGCGACCATTCACTGAGTCGGTCATTCCTGGACACTCATTAACTAGCGCCTGTTCTGTGGTGCTAGGTCCAGGTGGCCCAGTGGGAGCACCGGCCACAGCCCCTGCCCTCAGGGGACTGCCAGCCTGGCAGGGCAGACAGGACAGGAAGGGTGGCGACTCTAGGGAGCACAGCCGTGCAGCCTCTGGGTCCTAGACTGTGAGAGTCTCTCCGCAGAGGGTGGTGACATCTGAGCCACGTCTAGAAGGATGACAGTGGAGAGGAGGGGTGCAGGCCTGTGGGGAGAGTGACTCTCCCAAACTCACAGGTGACCCAAATGTCTAAGGTCGTGCCAACCCTGGTTTGGGGGAGCAGAGGCACGGAAAGAGAGTTTTGGGTTGGCGGTTTCCAAGGAGGGCTTGGCTGGGCAAAATAAGAACTTTGAATTTACAGGCTGATTAGCAGAGGGAGACGCGTGCCCAGGAGCCCCACCTTCCGGGGGGAACCATGGTGGTAAACAACAGCAGACACCACCAACTGAGGCTTGTTGGGGCCAGGCAGTGCACAGGAACTGCCATCCTGCAACGCTGTCTCACAGACGAGAACACAGGTCCCCCAGAGCACGTGGCTGGGCCAAAGCCACACAGCCTGCATGTGGCAGCAGCAGACCCCTGAGTGCCCACCCAGAAGTGGGCCCTTCCCCTGCTGTGGGCTGGTCCCCAGAGCTGGCGGCTGCTTCCTCCCTGTCCTCTTGAAGCCCAGCCACCTGGAACACTTTTCCCGTAAACCAAGACAGTCCTCAAAGGGCGGGGAACAAAAGGCAAACCGCAAAGCACAGCGGAGTCCCCACAGGGGTCACGTGTCCACTAGAGGTACTCTAAACTTGGCACCCCCCAGCGGTGTCCCACTTCAGCTTACAACACCTGTAGTGATGGAAAACTCACTACCTATGCAGGCTGCCTCAATATAATACATTTATTGAATCACAACAGTGACATCAAACACTTGGAAGTTCTACATATTTAATCTCCACAGTAACCCTGTGAGGTGGGTGCTATTATTACCTCATCTCAAAGGTGAGGAAGCCGAGGCTCCGAGAGGTTAAATGGCTTGTCTAAGGTCTTATAAGTTGAAAGAGGCAGAGCAACGATTGGAGCCCAGGCAGCCTGGCTGTGGAAGCCCCACCAGGCTCCCACCTCACCCGTTGGGATTAATACTCGTGCCCGAAGCTAACAAGTGAACTGCAGAAGACACGAGTCTGCACTTGCGGGTGAGTAAGTACTGGGAAGAATGAGTGCTAACAGGTGATAAAGTGAACGTGGAAGTGGACGAGGAGGACAAAGACAGCCCTGACGAGTCTGTGCAGGATGAACAAGGAAGGAAAGACATGAATGAGAGTGTGCACTCATAAATGTGGTAAACGGAATGTACCTGTGCTCCTTTAATCCTGGAACCTGTGTCCCGGCTGCCCGGCAACCCCTGCAGCACAGAGTCTTCTCTCCAGACCCCCAGAGGAGCCTGCACACCGGGCCGTGGCAGGCAGGCAGGGCGGCCCAGGAGGGGTACTCACAGGCTTGGGACCTGCCTGCCCAGACATACACACACAGGCACCACCCAAACAAGAAGAGCGGCCCAGCCGCTGACAAGCGGGTTCGAGAAGGCACATGTTGTGCCAATGGCTGGAGGCCAGGGGCAAACATGTCTGCAGTGGCTGCACAGCCCAGCAAACGGGACTGTCAGTCAGCAGTGGAGGTGAAGACAAGGACACGTTCAGGCTGGACATGGTCCCCAAACACAAAGACGATGGACTTGGCCCTAGGCACATGCCCTGAACGCACCTGTACCGTTCCTACCTCCACATCTTTGCTCCAGCTGTTCCCTGCACCTGGCAAGTCCCAGCCATCCTTGGAGACAGGTGCAAACACCACCTTCTTCAGGGAGTGTGGGCAGACACTACAGGTAGAATGGCCTGTCTCTTGGCCTATGTCTCTGTTGGAGCACCTCCTTGTCTGCCCCGAGTTCTTGCTACTTTGGGTCTATAATGTTCCTCCAGACATGGGTCAGCATCAAGTCCACCCTCCTTGCTGCCCACAGAGTACAGCTAGAGCCCCAGCACCCAGCCACCACAGGCACTGAGAGGCAGGTGGACAAGCTGTTACCATGCACCAGCCCCATCCATGGCAGGCCAGGAGCTGGGCGCCATCCCTTCTCCAGTCCTGCAAGCCCTAAGGTCAGAGGCGAGGACACAGGCTCAGAGAGGAGAGCCCCACTGCTCAAGGCAACACAGGGAATACCGCTGTGGGGTGCGGGGCTGGTCCTGTCAGACCCCGCTCCACCCGTTCATCTCCAGAGGGGACTCTGGATGCATCTAAGGACAATCCTGGCAGCTGACATCTCATGCTAACTGTGCCCCAGCCTCCGCTGCACTGCACACACAGGCAGCATAATCTCCAAAGAAGAATCAGTGCCCACAGGGTCTTTTTACAGGTGACACAACTAAGGGTCGGAGAAGGGCAGTCACTGATTCAAGGCCACGGTGTTACTAGAGGGTCCTGCTTCACACTCAGGACCCCTCTGCCTCCAGACCTCACATGCTCTATCCACTGCCCCTGCCCACAGGCCCGGCCTCCTCATTTCAATGACCCAGCCAAGTCATAAATGGATGGGAGTTTTCTGACTCTCAGCCACGTCTCAGGGGAAAGCAGCCTCCCAGGAGCATCAGTGAGAAGCAGGACAGGACACCAGGACACGTAGGACATGACATGGGGTGCCAGCTGTGCTGAGAGCTCATATGCAAAGGGCAGGCCCTGTAGCGTGTGGCAGGCTTGGTGTGGAGCAGAGCAGGGCACCATGACGTTGGCGGCAGCAGGGGCTCTCGCTTACCCACACACTTCCTGTGCACGTTGAGGATAAAGCCCTGGGCACAGAGCACTGTGTGGTTGACACAGTAGAAGGATCCCAGGGTGTTCACACAGAACTGTCGCCGGCTACAATCGTGAGCACCCAGCAGGCACTCGTCTTGGTCTAGTGACAGCCGCAGAAGGAAAAACAGAAGGGGCCATTAGAGGGGCACAGCCTGTCACGGAGCACCAATGACAGATGGGAAAACTGAGACCCAGAGTCGGGCAGGCAGCTGTGCAGGGCCTCCGAGGCCACCAGCGGTGCACCTCTGGCTTTGGGCCCAAGTCTGAGTTTGCACAGTCAAAGCTGGAATTCCAGTAAGGACAGACGGCAGGTCAGGCTCAGGGAGGGTAGTAAGCAGCCTGCCTCCCACCCACACTCTGGAGATGCTCCACCGCCACAGGCAGCCAAGGGAGCCACACAAGGCAGTGGCTGCAAGTTCAAGTGTTTAGGGGCCAGGCTGGCAACATAAATGGAAGGAGGAGCCAAAGGGGTTCCATGGGCAGTGTGAGTCCTATGTTCTGTCCAGAGGGGGCCTGGAGCTGCAGGTTTTATAGTTTCAAGAGAAAACTGAAATCTGGACATTTAAAAAAAATATTGCATTTTTCATGATTAGTAACTCATTCGATTACTGTAAACAGGGTGGAGCCCAGCAGGACCTGCTGCAGGCCAAGCTACACCCTCAGAGTGCCTGTCTGCAACCTCTGGCCTGGAACGCACAGCCTTTACTGCCAGGGCTCTGCAGCAGCGAGGGAGACCTGGAGACTGACTCACGGCGGGCAGCCTGGCTGGGCCTGAAGGGGTCCTGGCCCAGGAGAGACACGTGCTCACGTCTCCAGGGCCCTGAGAGACAGGGCGTGAAGCCCAGAGGGCACCTGAGGTCTGTCCCTACGCCCTACGACAAAGTCACCATCATGTTGTGTCCTGAGCGAGTCTCCTGTCCTCTCTGGGCACTGGACAGTTGTCATCCACATCAGAAAACAGTTTCGGCCCAGAGGCTAAATAAGGGTTTCAGCTTCTGGCAGAAAGAGGTGTATGCATTTTCCCAGACAGACTTAACCCTAGCACACCCCAAAACCCACCAGGGTCACCTTTCCTGAACTTGAACCTGAACTGATGAAGCATGTGTTAGACCATCTGCACATTCCATGTCTGTCTTGCCTCCAGACATGAGGAGGTGCAGTCTGGAGGCCCCTCCGGCTGTTCTCCATGCACTCTGCACTGTGGAAACCACACCAGCAGCTGCCAGATCCAATGCCCCCATCCTACAGGAGGACATCCCAGCTGAGGGGCCCGGCTGAGAAAAGATCCGGACCTAGCAGGGTCCCTGGCATGAAAGGAGCATGCTTTTGGAATCTCTCCAGCCTCTTTGTGCATGGCAAAGGTAGTCAACTGCCACCAACATCCACTGTCCCCTCCTTAACAGAACTGAACTTTTCTTTAACAAACTGAACTCATGCCATCCAGCTGGGACTCATACTCCCCAGTCTTGCTGCCAATCAAAGGCAAATGGGAGGGAGGAATGCCACTTCTGGGTCCTACCTTATAATAATCTGGCATGTACTTCCCTCTTTCTCTCTCTCCCCCCGTGACTGGATCAGGGACAAGGTGGTCAGAATCAACTTAGGTCACACAGACAGAGAAAGCCCTCAAGGACAGGAGAGGTGCAGCATGGTCCAGGGACCTGGTGACCTGGCCCCACCCCAGACCTACTGGGTCAGGATCTCTGGGGATTCTGCGGAATTCTCAGATCCATGCTCTCACTAGGCTTCCAAATGACTCTGGTGCATGCTGAAGTTTGGGAAGCATTGCTCTAGAGAATAGGGAACACCACGATAAAAGAGACCTGGGGTCCTGCCAGCCCGTGTGCCCACCCTGTACTACACGCACACCTAGGTAGTACATGCACGGTGACATGAGAGGAATCACTGCTTAAGCTCTCTGGAGCTCTTCGTCACAAACAGCCAAACCTGGTCCCTCACCGCTCCCCTCATCCTGTTTGTCTGATCCCCACTCGGGGGCCCTCACCACAGGCTAACTCAGGTTTGCACAGCTACGAGGGTAACCCCCATGGTACTCACCTTCACAGGACACACCGTCTGCCATGATGGCATAGCCAGGAAAGCAGGAGCACATGGCTGTGTCCCCAATAATTCTGCACACCTGCTTGCAAGGCCCATTGTCTGGGAGAAAACCACACGGAAATCAGAGACTGCCAGGCTCATCACCTCCAGCTCTAACCTACAGGGGGAGAGGCTGGGAGCCGAGGAACCCCACTCCTGGCCCTTTTTACAAGTCCACCTGTTAAACTGGCTCATACACTGGCCGGTGTCTGGGATGATGTGCTAGATCTCCTGCCTCCCCCCCCACACCCTTCCCTCAAGAAACAGTGATGGGAGTGAGGAAGGGGAAGAGAAGACAGAAAAAATGCAGAGAGAAGGAACAAGGAAGAAGAGCAGAACAACAAAGAACTTTTTACACATTACTGTCTGCATGACGGTTCTACAAGCAAAGATGTATTATTCTCTGAATTTCACAGAAACTGAGACCAAAAAAAGTACCTAATTGGCTTGCTTGGGGTCATCCTATACAACCAGCCCAGGCTGTCCTCTATTCTCATTTCCCTTCTCACCCCAGCCTTACTCACCCCCAAATCTCACCTCCTTATCTATACTCAGCTCAGACAGGCAAGACCAGCCAACCCCTAAAGCAGAAGCACCCCTTCGACAGGGCCACCTTGCACATGCCCAGCACTAAAGAGCTCACTACCTGCAAGGAAGCCAGACCCATCCCAAGGCCCAGGTTACCTTTGCAGGTGTTGGGTTGTGGCCGTGGTAGCAGGATGGTGTTGGGGGGCACCAGGGAGGATTCTGGCCTCAGTGCAGACTCCTCTGCAGCCTCTGGCTGTGGGGGGCGATGGTCTGTCCCAGGCAAAGCAAACAGGTGCGGGGGGGTGTCTGTCTCACATCTGCAGCCAGGCCTCAGGCCCTAACAGGCACCACGCCAGCACTTGACAGAAACTGCTTCCTTTAATCCACCACCGCCCATTTCCCAGAGGAAGAAACTGAGGCTCAGGGAGCTATGCAATATACTTAGGTAAGGTCAATCTCACAGCTATTCACGGCAGAGGAGGCAAGGAAGAAGAGGAGTGAGTTTCTAGACTGACAACCAATCTATCCCTGGAAGCTGGCACCTTCCTGGACTGCCTATTGGGGCTTAACCACCACGGGCCCAGGACTGGGGAATCAGACTGGGTTGGTGGGAGCTTCTCTAGCTCGGGTCCTGGCCCTGCATTTGAATCCAGAGTAGGGCACTGGGGCTTACCATGCAAATAGAGTTCCAGGAAGAAGCCTGTATGCTGGGCCTCACAAAGCCCATCACCAGAGGCCTCTGGCTCCTATAGGGTCCAATGTGTGGGACAGCAGGAGGAGAAGTACCCCACAGGCCCCACTGCTGGAATCCCACACTCCCCTGGCAAGATTAACCCCAGTCCCTCCCCCAACTACCTGGGTCCTTACCTGGGTGGCAGGTACGGCCATCATCCTGTAGTGAAAAGCCAGGAAAGCAGGCACAGTGATAAGAGCCCACAGTATTGATGCAGAGGTGCTGGCAAAGCTCCCCTGGGAGAAGCAGGCACTCATCCTGGTCATCACCGGGCAGGCTATTGGGCAGCTCTGTCTCCATGCCCAGTGACAGGGCCTCCCGGCTCCCCAGCTGCGTCTCTGAAACTGGGGCAGAGGTCAGATGGGATCTGGGTTGGCCCCAGCAGGAGGCTGAAACCTCAGGCCCCCAGAAAATCAGTGCAGGACATCAGAACCTTCTGCATGCCCAGCTGAGACAGCATGGATGGATGATAGGTAGATGGGTGGATGGATGGATGGATGGATGGATGGATGGATGGGGGGATGGATAGACCCTCAGGAATAAGAGTGAACCCACCAGAGCCAGATCTACAACAGCCCTTAGGAAGCACTAGCTAAAGTGATAAATGGGCCCTGGCCAGTGTGACTCGGTTGGGTAATGTCCCGCAAACCGAAAGGCCAAGGATTCGATTCCCAGTCAGAGCACATGCCTGGGTTGCAAGTTCTATCCCTGGTTGGGGGTGTGTGAGAGGCAACCTATCGATGTTTCTCTCTCACATCAATGTTTCTCTCCCTCTCTTTCTCCCTCCCTTCCCCGCTCTCTGGAATCAATAAAAGAAAAAAAAATTGAAGTGATAAATAGGACTCAGACCCCTGACTTCAGTGACATCTGAGAGGACCACCTCTAGCAACAGAAAGGGCCCAAACCTGAGTTCCATCAGACTAAGAGCTGAACCCTCACTCGGGCAGCCCCTAGCTGTGTCACGTTGAACAGTGCTAGGTCTCTCCATGCATTCCAAGCTGCGTTAAGGAGGAGGTGAGAGTGGGACAGAAGGCTCCCAAGGGCAGAGCGGTCCTGGAAGACTCTTGATATACAGTCATGGAAAGGGGAGAGGCCCGCACTCCCTCCATATGGCCTGGTGCCTCAGCTTTGCCCACCAGCACCACACAGCCAAGCCCCTGAAGGGAGCAACTGCGTAAGGTCACATCTGAGGAACATGTTTCATATTGAGGGCATTTACATTAAGTTCTAGCTCAATCAGCCCAGGCCTGGTACCTGCCAGCCTTATGGACCTGTGCTCAGGCTCTACTGAGCATGCTACAGGCTGGGAAGCATCTCTAGGGTTCAAGCTCAGGCCACCTTCATCAGCATATTACTCACAATGAATTCAGCAGAAGGAATAGTGAGGCTCGGAGGAACATAGTGATATTTCCTAGGTCACCTAAGCAGAACTGGAACCTAAGTTGGTCTGACCCTGATATTTTTGTCAGACCCATTGATGACTGGGTCTGGTCAAATCCGGGACACCAGAAAGCCCAAGTCAAAAATGGGAGTCATCAGAGCCAAAGACCCACTGCACATGTGGGGCAAGGTCCTGCCCCTCTGGCCCTCAGCTCCCTCCTCCAGACTACTGAAACACGGCGACAGTAACGGGGTGGCATCTGAGTGTCTTGTCAGGCACCATCGTAAGCTCTTGTCTAGCATCCTGTCATCCACTCGCACAGGGAAGGAGGTGAAAAGCAGAATCCCTGTCTGACAAACTCTCCAAGAAGGATCATGATTTGCTGAGAAGAATGGTGGAGCTGGGATTCCAACCAAGTCTGCTGGACTCCAAAGGCCAAGAATTAACCTTAATGCTAGGACCATCTTTGGGGCTTTCATTTCCAGACTTTGTTCAGTCCTTGAAGTGCCCAGGATAGGCTAGTGTTTTGGGGACCCTCCTGGGCACCTGCCCCCTGGCTGGTCCAGGCCAAGTGTGTGAACACCTGCAGAAGTAGCCTGCCGGGCAGGGCTTTCAAGGCACTAGCCCCAGGGCTGCTACGCCCAGCTATACAAAGGATACCTGCTGACTCACAGGGACACCTTGACTGGGCTCCTGCTGGCCCACAGGCACAAAGAAGACTAATGGCCAATAGTCCAAGAGATAGCCCTAGATAGGGTGACAGAGGCTACACATGGCAGCTGGAACAATGACCAGAGCACATGGAAGGCACAGAAGGAAGGAGACCCCAGAGATGCTCTAGGACCTGAAGCTCCCACGGAAGCTCTAGGACCTGGCTCCTGAGCCTCAGGCAGGAGCAAACACAAATTCCAGGCTCCACAATGCACCTGGAGCTCCCCCCCAACACACACACTGCCTGTGGCTTCTGGGGATCAGTGCCAGGCAGGTATAGAGAGGGTAAGAGAACAGTCCTGGTCAGCCCTCAAGAACTCATGGTCTATGGTGAAGGGGGGCTGCCAAACAAACCCATCATTCATTCAGTCATTTGCTAGTGATTCTTCTAGGAAAAGCACAGGGCCAGGCACTGAGAATATAGACATAAAAGACAGTGATAGCCTGAAGGGGCTGATCAGGCAGGAGTGGCAACATTTATGAATGTATTCTCCATACTAGTTATACCCTGTTCCCTGTGGAAATAAGAATGGGATAAGTGAGAGGGATGAACACAAGGAAAGGTAAGTGAAGGAATGGATAAGTGAAAGGTTTTCTGACCAAGTGAGTGGGTGAATACATGAACAGATGGACAGACAGGTGGACGAATGGACAAATGGATGAACGGATGAATGCGTAAGTTAATGGGTGCATGAGTGGGTGCATGGGTGCAGTAGAAGAATGGATGCATGAATGGATGTGTAAATGGACAGATGAGGGGATGGTGGATGAATTGGTGTATTGGAAGGATGAATGGACAGTGAAATAGACCAGAGAATGGGTGGGGGGTGGGTGAGATGATGGAAGGATAAACCAGTGGATAGGATGGTAGGTAGTAAGTAGTTGGCAATTCGGTGGGTGACGTGGATGGTACTTGGAAAACTGAATGAGATCTCCATCTTGGAAATAACAGGCCAGAGCCCACCATCAGAGGGCACAGAAGAACTCTGTTCAGAGCAGAGCTTGTGCCTGAAGTCACAGATGGCTGTGGACTCGGGGTCCCCGGGGAAGACCAGAGGGCTACCAGCTGCCTCCCCTCACCCAACTATCCCATATACCCTAGCCCAGATTGAGGCAGCACCCACCTCTCTGTGGCGCAGTCTCAGGCTCCGGAGGATGGCGGACTTCGGGCACAATGAGGAGATCTTTGCCCTCACAGCAGGATAGCATGACGTGGTTGCAGGGGTAGCCCAGGTTGGTGTTGGATTCACATGACTGGCCCTCGGCCCGCACACGGAGCCCCAGGCCACAGCAGTCACAGCATTGCTGGAGAAAGACACGCACTCACTGCTACACCCTGGCCCCTCAGAGCCCATCTGCCTTCCCCTGGGTCTGTGAGCCTGTGGGACTGACTAAGGACCCCCAGATAGCAGCCTGGGTCTGGCTCAGTGGAGGAGCTGATAAGTGAGAGTGAGTTCATTTTGCCTTGTTTCTTCTGTCCAGTATGTGCTCTCCAAGGACAGAGGAGTCACCTTTCTCTATTTCCCATGTCTATCTCAGGGTAGGGCTAATGCGAGTTTTTTGAAATAATTAATAAATGGTCTCTATGAAAAGAACTGCAAATTAGCCCCAGCCACATCCACTACCCTCTGTTTTCACTAGCAGACTAGCAGCTAACAGACAGCATTTTCAAGTATCCCTTGAAACTAGAGACTAAAGTCACTGGATGAAGCTTTCAGGAGAGCTTGTAACTGGGGCTGATTCCCCTTGAAAGTACATCCTTTTTGTAGCCCTCTTCCTCCTTTTCAGAACAGAAATAGTGGCTGGAGTTCTAGCAACCATCTTGGGACATGAGGCAACTTTCAAGATGGAGGCTACAAGCTCAAGATGACTGAGCAGAAAAGTAGAAGACAGAGTGTGTAAAGATACTGTGTAGATACACCCCTGTCCCAGACTGCTCACTTCTAACAAAAAAATCTTCGATTGTTTAAACTACTGTGCTGGACTGATTATAATAGCCCCAATTGTTTCTGCTTCCCTCTGTCTACTGTCTTTGCAATGTGATAGTGCAGTTCCTCCAATCAAAGGAGACTATTCGACAACTTCTTGGTTGCACTGCAAGATTTGCTCTGGCCAACAGGATGAGACAGAAGTGACAGTACACCAGTTCTGAGCCTAGGTCTCAAAAGGCCTTGAACATTTCTACTCTGTGTTGGAACCCTGCCCACCACTAATTGAACAAGCCCAAACTAGCCTGCTAGAGGTTAAGAGACTGCATAGAGTAGAGAAAAGTCATCCCAGTTGCAGTGATTCTAAATCATAAAGTACCAGGAGAGCCATCAGCTGACAGCAAACGCATAAGTGAGCTTAGCCAAGATCAGCAGAGCATGGCCCACACCAGCAAAACTACCCTGACTCAGATTATGTGCCAGTCATAAATCACTGTGGTTTGGAATTGTTTGTTACACAGCAATAGCTAACTGATACTCTAGACCTGCATCACCCAATGGTGACCACTTCACCATTTAGTGAAGACCCCCCAGGTACTTAATAAATACTTAGTTAGCCTTACCTCTGATCCTTACAACCACCCCATAAGACATATATTATTATCCCCACTTTGTAGATGGACAAGCTGAGGCTCAGAAAAGAAGGAACAATCAACCCCAACACGATAAAAATTAAAGTTGAAATCATCTCCCAAATGCCACCCTCCTCCAGAGGTCCCTGTCACAGTCATCCAAGCTTGTGACACTTCAATTCCTTATACCCCTTGCCCCTAAACATGTCTTTCAGTGATGCTTCCTGAAACTGTCCACTGCCCTAGTTTGCCCCGTCCTCTGCTACATGGCTAGACAGCTGTTGACCTACAATGTCTGTTCTCCCTTCTTCCCAATTTTCAGTGGAGCATGTGACCTCTCCAGAATAAAGACCTTTCTCAGACTCCCTTCAGCTAAGTGTGGCCACTGGACCTGGTTCCAGGTAATGTGATGTTAGTGGAAGTACTGCCTGTCCTCAGAAGACGGGCTCTTCTCACACCTGCATCCACAGCAGCCTTAGTCACACAGCCATGAGGCATTGATAAGAAGCAACCCAATGTCTATCAATAGATAAATACATGAACAAAAGCACTTTATACATGTAATGGAATATTATTCAACCTTGAAAAGGAAGAAAATCCTGGCACATGCTACAACATGGATGAACCTTGAGGACAGTATGTATGCTCAGTGAAATAAACCAGACACAACAGGACAAATATTGCGATTCCACGTTTATGAGGTATCCAGAGCAGTCTAATTCACAGAGACAGAAGGCAGAAGTTGGTTGCCAGGGGCTGGGGGAAGAAGAATGGGGAGTTAGTATTTGATGGGGATAGAGTTTCAGTTTGGGGAGGTGAAGAGAGTTCTGGAGATGGAGGGCAGTGATGGTTGCACAACAATGTGACTGTTTAATGCCACTGAACCATTCACTAAAAAATAATTAAGACGGTGGATTTTACATTATGTGTATTTGGCACAATTAAAAATAATGTAAAAGCGGGGGCTCCTTCCTCCTTCCTGCTGCTCGGAGCTCAAGCAGCCATCTGGGACCAAGAAGCAGCAAATTACAGTTGGTAGGGCAACAAGACAGAACGAGCCTGTGTCCCTGAAGACCTCAGAGCCACTCACTCCTTCAGTTCTGGCCTGGCTGCCTCCAACCTCCAGCATATGACAGAATGGCCAATGTTTAGGGAGTTTTCCATTACCTCGGTTTGCAGCCAAACCGAGGCCTCATCCCTAGTCCTGCCACCAGTGTGAGCTCCAGCACAGTAACTGATCTTATGCAAATCCCTCCCAGGGCCCTGTATATCCTTGGCGTGAAGCGTAAAAGATCTCAGGGCAATCGTTACTGTCCTTCACATAAGAGCCAGAGGTTTCCTAGCAGCCTGTCCCCATTACACCTCAAGCCTGTGGAACCCCTTTCCCACACATTCTTGCCTCTGTGTCTTTGCTCGCATTGTTCCCTCTCTTAGAAGTGCCCTCCTGTTCTCTCTGTCCCAGTCTGCAGCCTGATGAGATTTCACTCCAGCCAGATCACACTGTCTGTGTAGAAGAACACCCTCAATGAATGGTCCCCACAACTGCTAGAAGGGACCAGATAGTGTCCTTCAAAACTACGTTTCCCACCTCAGAGCAAACCATCACCTTTATAATGACAGGCAGGGTCTTCCCCATCACCTCTCTGGCCTTAGCTCCTGCCACTCCCTCCTAACTCACTGCACTCCAGACACACAGGCCTCCTTGTTGCTTCTCACACCTGCCTCGGGACCTTTGCACTTGTTGTTCCCTCTGCCTAGAAGATACTTCCCACATGGCTCACCCCTCTCTTCCTCCAGGGTTTTACACAAATGTCCTCTTATTAGTGAGGCCATCTCCAGCCACTGTTAGCTGAAACTCCAGCCCCTCCCCACCCCTGACAGAGCTTATCCCCATCCTCTCTTGAATTTTTCCCGCCTGGCAGCATCACCTTCTACCACACCATGTATTAACATATTTACCTCAATCTCCATCTGTCTCCCTGACTAGAAAGAAGACCCAGAGAAGGCAGGGATTTTTCTGTTACTCATTTCTGCATCCCTCATGCCTAAAACAGGGCCTGGCATACACTGGTATCCAGTAAATATTTTGTGAATCAATAGATCAATATAACTGAGGATATTTTCTATGCAGATGAACAGACCCAGGTGGGAGCGTCCCCCCCCCACCATGGAGCCCCACAGGGGAGCCCAAACCCAGCTCTCAAGGACCCTCCGGGGCCCAGGCAACAAAGGCTGCAGGTCAGTCTTGCCTTGTACAAGGAGACGCCACAGGTGTCACTGTCCTCAAGCCCACAGGCCTCGCCCTCCTTGGCTCCCATGATGCCAGCCATACAGCTCTTCTCCTTCAAGTACGACACACAGCAGTGCTTCTGGGCTGTCCTGCAACAGAAGTGCCCTCAGTCCCACCTGAGTGTAGCCCCATCCTCCCACTGACCCTTCTATAGGACGGATCACAGCTCCCATCTCACAGAGGAAAAAACTGAGGCTCAGATGAGGGACGTCCATATGAGCAGGACAGGGCTGGTGGCAGGTGCCGCAGCAAGGCCAGCAAATCCCCCACTGGGTCGCATGGGTTTGTTTCTTCTTAACCAAGAAGACTTAGGCATAGGCTCCACTGGACTCACTGCTGTGTGTCTCTGACCAATGAACAAGGGGAATGGCACTCCAAAACCCGCAGAGGCAGAGAAAGATAGGAAGACCCAGTCCTGGGTTGGCCTGGAGGAGAACAGCCTACAGGGTCCCTGGTAAAGCCTCCTAATCTCTGGAAGGCAGTCCTGGGGCAGAGGCAGCTGATGAGCCAGGAGCATGCAGACAGAGCCAGGACGGAGAGGCAGGGTCATGGGAAGTAGGGTTCAGCCCCACCTGAGGAAGAGTGTGTCCTGGCAAGGGCTACCCAGTGAATTTCCCACCGCAAGAAGGATATAAACACACACTAGGGTATTCAGCTCAAAACTCCAGGAATGTGAACGGTGCAGGCTCTAACTACTAATCAGCCAAAAAACTGGTAGGACAACAAAGAGAAAGGAAAGGGAGAAGATTAGAACTTAAATGTTTCCAAAGGAGGCAATGATGGGGTTGGACATTCACAAACATGGGGTCTAATCCTGGCCATGCTCCCCATGAGCTGTATGGCTTGGGATGAATCACATCACCTCTCTGAACTTTCTCTTCCTTGTCTGGAAAAATGAGTAGGTTGAAAAGACGGTGTTGCTAGAAAAAAGAAATAGGGAGTGGCTGACCACGATGTCTTCTAGAGGGCTGGCTGGCATGGCTGTAAACGATTCCATTGCTGAGATACTGCAGTCCAAAGAAACAATCAATAGAGGCTGTGAAAGGCCAGCCTTCTGGAGACTCCAGGGCAGCACAGTAGGGGCAGAAAGGGCACTGAGTTCCCCAGCTCAAAGCTGAGTAGATAAAACCTGTGTGGGTGGAGCACTGCCCAGCAGAAAGAAGTCCCCAATTACTCCTAGGTGACAATGGTCCTGTAACACTTGCTCCGCACTGTTCACTCCTCCAATTTTGTGCATGAGGCCAGCTATAAATTTATGTGGCTAGTATATACACTGGGAACCAGTCTTGGGCTCTCCACATCTTCAGAATCCTTACCAGCTGGGCCACAGCTGCCACATCCAATCACTCTTGTGCACCTGGAAGCAGGTGAACCATGTGCTCACTGTCAGGGCCTGGGGTCCACGGCAAGCAGGGATCTGGAGAGGGGAATGGACAGCTCTGTGTGCTCCAGGGTTCCCACCTTACCTGCAGACGTCACCCTCAGCACCGCTCTCAGGGATTTCAAGGCATTCGTCATTTTCAATGCCCCACTGCTGTCCAGCCGCGCAGCAGGTCTCGATCAGGTCCTTTGTGGAGACTGTGGGTGGCAATACGAGCAGAGTCACCACCACCCTATAGGAGGTATGCAGTTCCAAGGTGTCTAGGTCAACTAGCAGAATAGATGCTGCTGGTGCCCATCCACACGCTGCCCATTGCTGGGAAGGAAATGAACTCCCTCCACTGCTCTGGATGGTGGCCACCAGCTCACCCTGCAAACACCTTTGGAGAACTGCCTAGGACGGTAAGTTAGCCCCATGGGGTTGATGAGCGGCATAGGAGTACAGAGGAGACAGCCACTCACACTTGAGTGCCACTCACACTTGAGTTCCCTGTGGGATCAGGAGCATTGTCCAGCTCCTTCCCTGCACCTCCCCAAACAACTATGTGCACAAGGACCCCCACTCAGGCTCTGCTCTTAAGGAGCCCAACCTAAGACTCCAACATAGGACAAGACATAAGAAAGCAACTGCAGCAGCAAAGGAAGTGTAAATCTTAGGTGAGTTTATGGAATGAAGTGCATGGACAGAATTTCTGTGACCAGGGAGGGTGTGGAGGGGTCAGGGGCAGGGAGAACATCTTCCAACTCAAACTCAAATGGGTGAATCTGACCAGCTCAAAATTAAACTTCTCTGTATAACAAAGACCTCCATGGACAAATATAACAGATCACTGACAGGCTAGGAGGCAGTTTTGGAATGTCTACACATGACAAAGAATGGCTATTAAGAAATATAATCACCTCCATTAGCAAGAAAAAAGCAACCCCAACATAAAATACCTTTTAAACTGAAAAAATCAGAACAAGCATTAAATGTGCCCTAGGGGTGGCAGTGGGGACTGGCAGTTAGTCTGGAGGGAGATCTGGCACTACTTACACAGAGAAGTCTGGACATCAACTAGGACCTTGTGGTTCCGCCCCAGGTACACACTCCAGGGGGATCCTTAGCCTGGCCCATCATGTAACCAGCGCACACATGTGCTCTTTAGCGTTATTGTGGAAGGGACTTGGTGCAAGTCTGGAAGTTCACATTGGAAGAGTGGATGAAGAGAATTTAGAGACATGCTCTATATAGGACTCCACTTCTGTCAGAAACAACAGACCAGATGTCCACATGACAACGTGACAACACATGCACACAAGCAACATGCCTGGTGCAGAACAGAAGGCTGAGGGGGAATAGGAAAGAAAACAAGTGGGATTCATTACACAAACTTAAAATATTGCACACAAAATAACAATACACACTTTACAAGATACATAAAAACAAAAAAAATAGCCGCAAATTAAATAGAACAGTTGGCTATGGTGGGGCAGAAGGATGGCAATGGGGATAGAAAATAAAAGGGAACAAAATACATAAACAAAACAAAAGAATCTTCAAAGGCGGTGAGATGTAAAGTGCCAGACAATGAAGAGTAAAACTGACCCAACCACTTCCCTCTGAGGTCTGAAAATACGTGACATTCAAAAATAAAGCTCATCTAGAACATCTATGTATACAATGAGGGGCAGTAGAGTGTAACTGACAGTACCTTTGAGCCTGGATCCACACCTTAGTGCTACCACGTGTAGCTGTTTCTCCTCCCTAAAGACTCAGTGTCTGTCTCTGTTATGGAGGACCTAATGGCTGTACAGCTGCTGATGCCTGTAAGGCCCTCTAAAGAGCCTGTAGCAATTCCCATAACCTGACAGGGCAAAGCAACTAATGCACCAAGGGATGTCAGCCGTCTGCAAGGTTCTAGGAACAGAGTGAGAGCTGGCCAGAATCACCAGCTTTATCTGTTAAAAGAGCATTTCAACTCCTTGAACTTTACTGTTTCTGTTACCTTTTGTAAAACAGAGAACATAGGCTTTGATAACAAGTTGAGGGCTGCTGTAAGGCACCAAAAGGTATGAGAATAATTCCTAATAACTGCCGTCTAGCAGAAATAAGTCATAAACATCACGGTCATTAGACACATGCCCCATTAAATCAAAAATATGACAAAAATGACCTGGTAAGGTCACTCAGTTGGTCAGAGCATCATCCCGATACATCAAGGTTGCGGGTTCAACCTCTGGTCAGAGCACATATAAGAATCAAACAATGAATGCATAAATAAGTGTAACAACAAATTGATGTTTCTCTCTGTATCTCCTTTTTTTTTTCTCTCTCTCTCTCTTTCTCAAATCAATCAATAATATTGCTCCTCAGCCTTCTGGCTAAGATCAAGTATAAAATCAATCAATAAAAAATGTTTAAAATGTGGCAAAAATGTCTACTGACACTGCTACTATTTACAGTTTCCTAGAGGTGCTAGCAAATGCAATAAAGCAAGACATAAAGAAGCAGTAAAAATACTAGAAAGAAGGAGATAATAGTCATTATTTGTAAACTATGAGTTCATCTTCCTAAAAAATCCAAGTGTTAAAAGTTAACACAATGTTAAAATGAATACTACTACTACTACTATTATTATTAATATCTGATAACCAAAACCAAAATCGACATATTCAAATTGGTGGCTTTCCTATACACCAACAACAAATAAAAGATAATACAGGAGACTTGACTTGGAGTGGGAACACACAATACAATATAGAGATGATGTATTATAGAATTGTATACCTGAAACCTATATAATTTTATGAATAAATGTCACCCCAATAAATTCAATTTTTAAAAATATAGGAAAAAATCCCATTCAAAATAGATAATTCTAGAAATAAATCTATAGTAAACATGCTAAATCTACATGAAAGAAAAAAACTGTAGGTACAATAGATATATTGTGTCTGAATGACAGTCTCCAATACCTTGAAGAGGTCAATTCTCTTCCATTTATAATTTTAATGTAATCCCAAAGTGCCAACATAATTTGTTATAAAATTGTCAATTGATTCTAAAATTCATCAAAAAAAGAAAATGTTGAGATTCTCGCAAGATGGTGGTATAGGTAGACACAGCTCGCCTCTTTGCACAACCACATTAAAATTACAACTAACATATAGAACTATCACTCAGAACACTCAGAAATCAAGTTGAATGGAAGTCTAAAAACTATGAAATTAAAGAAACCACATTCACTAAGCCTGGTAGGAGAGATGCTGACCCTGAATGGGCTGGTATCTCACTCACCTGTGGTAAATAAAATTTGGGGAGGGATAGCTCAGGAGCAAGCAGGGCCAGCCGCACACCAGGCTCCCCAGCCTAGGGTCCCAGTGCCAGCAAGATAAGTCCCCACAACTTCTGGCTCCAAAAACCAGCTGCGATTTGGTCAGTGGAAGAAACTTCTGAAGTCTCAAGCAGTTCCTCTTAAAGAACCCACACACAGACACACCTACTAAGACTCAGTCCTTCTGAGCCCCAGCACTGGATGGCAACTTGTAGGGCACCAGTGGCATGCAGAGAGAAACTGAAGGGGCTGAGACCCTGGTGAGCAAAGGTGTCCCTTTTCTGAGCCCTCTCCCTGCAGAGCCACAGAGCTGGCAGGCTGGTGTCATATTTGAGACTCCATCAACCTGGATAAAACTGACCTGCCTTGGAGATCCCCACAGACCCTGTCCCACCCAACTTACCTTCCCACCCCGGCTGCTTTTCCACATGAATGGGTTGGTCTTGGCTCAAGCTTCACAACTTCCTAAATCCTTCCAAATAACCAACAGCTGGCCTCAGTGATCTACAGGCCAGACATTAGCAGGAGACAACCTAGAGTCACAGCTTGGCTTTGTCTGGGAATCTCCAAGCCCAGCACAAGTAGCAACCTTCTCAGATTGCTCTATAGCTCAGGAAGGGCAAAACACTAGTAGGGGCTCACTTTGGCCTGCACCACCCAGGAAACCCCAGGGCCAGCACACACAGTGGACAGCTACACACCACACCAGAGCACCACCACCCTGCCCCTGCACAGCTCATGCTCCAAGGAGCATGGAGGTTGGTGGCCAGTGGTCACAGCCAATCCTTGCAGTTGACTGGCCTGGGTAAATCCCTCCCATTGACCTGCCAAGAGCAACCAAGGCTCAACTACAACAGGAGGGTGTACTCAGCCCACATGAAGGGTACACCTCAAGTACCCAGCTTGGGTGATAGGAGAGGCTCTGCCACTGGACCCTTCAGGATACCTACTACATTATGCCATGACAGCAAGACAGGGAGTCATAGCAGCCCTACCTAATACACAGAAACAAACAGAGAGAGGCTGCCAAAAGTAGGAGACAAAGAGACATGGCCCAAATGAAAGAACAGATCAAAAACTCCAGAAAAAGAACTAAATGCAATGGAGATAAGTAATCTATTGATGCAGAGTTCAAAATACTGGTTATGAGGATGCTCAAGGAATTTAGTGAGGATCTCGGCAGCATAAACAAGATCCAGTCAGAAACAAAGGATTAACTAATTGAAACAAAGAACAATTTACAAGAAAACAACAGTAGAGTGGATGAAGGTGAGAATCAAATGATTTGGAACATACAGAAGCAAAAACAACCAATCAGAACAACAAAAAGAAAAAAGAATTTAAAAAAATGAGGATAGTATAAGCAGCCTCTAGAACAACTTGAAGAAGTCCAACATTCACATCATAGGGGTACCAGAAGGAGAAGAGGAAGAACAAGAAATTGGAAATGATTTGAAAAAAAATAATGAAAGAAAACTTACCCAATTTGGCAAAGGAAATAAACGTGCAAGTCCAGGAAACACAGACAGTCTCAATCAAGTTGGACCCAAAGAGGACCACAACAATACACATAATTTAAATGCCAAAGATTAAAGATAAAGAGGAAATCTTACGAGCAGCAAGAGAAAAACAGAGAGTTACCTACAAAGGAGTTCCCATAAGACTGTTAGCTGATTTCTCAAAAGAAACTTTGCAGACAAGAAGGGGCTGGCAAGAAGTGTTCAAAGTGATAAAAAGTGGTTGGTTGTAGGTCTTTACCTACAACCAATATTACTCTATACAGCAAATTTATCATTTAGAATGGAAGGGCAGATAAAGTATTTCCCAGACAATTAAAGCTAAAGGAATTCATCATCACCAAGCCATTATTACATGAAATGT